TGAAAAGAAAACTAAGTCAACGATGTGAAAAAAACTCATCAAATCGTATGCTTATTTTTTCGTCTTCATGCACTAATAGATGTGCAGTAAACCACCTTTGGGGTGACCAAATATGAGACCAGAAATGAGAGAAAAACCGTTCTGCTGTGGCTCTCATTTTGGTGCACTGTAGCCCAAAGGAAGCAAGAAGGGCGAGGTATTCCCAAGCCTACACGGGGGCAGTCAATAGCCTGCGATGGAGTTCGAACTATGCATATTCCAATCGGCTGCTTTGCGCCTAAACCACTGGGCTGTCTTGTATTCGGCGTTGTGTGAAATACACTCTTTCAGAGAAAGTAATTTTGTGCCTGAGTTCTACAGAGCCACGCTTCTAGCTGACAATATTTGACAATCGTACCCGGCTGTTGTCACCACAATCGAGGCACATCGTTTTGTGGGACTCGTAACTTCAATCTGACACGCTGACTGTAAGTGGGGCTGCCTCTATGAAGAAATAACTTGTACGTGGATTGTACCGCATGAAGTCTCAACTAAAATGCATCGTCATTAGAGATTTCACAATGTTAGATTATTTGGGGCAACTAAAGTGGTCTCTTTTTCAAAGGCACAGGTTTTTCAGTCCGTTTTCCCGAAACGCCGCATCCGCCTCATGCGTATGGGTTAGCCTGCTTCTTCTAGATCATTAAAGTCCGGGAGCGATACGATTCATGAGTAGAAGACGGATATGCGACTAAGATAGCTGTCTTGGTTTCACACAACTAAAACGTCATTGATACATGTTGCGTGAGCCAGGAAATCTCCGTGACCCGGACGATGTGCGCTACGAACCGGTAAGCTGTTGAACCGCGGTAGTCACCGTGTGACAGCCGCTAGTCCACCTAGAACTGACTTAGCTAGAATGTTTAAGCGGCCCAAACTCTGAAACTAATGAAGACAGGAAAATGCATCCCTGTTTGGGTCAACACAGAATGAAAACGATCATTGCGTTACAAGTGAATGTCAGTTAATTTTCATGAAGATACTTCGGAAAATTAACTCACCCCATGTGATGAGGACTGACAAATCATTGTTCCGCTACTCGAGTAATTTTTTCGATGGCTTAATGAAGTGTTTACTGTTCGATCGGTTTAGGCTAACAACGGTCATTTCTGTCCGTGTATCAATCAAAGTGTACAGACTTGTAACACAAACCATGGTATATTTAGCCAATGGTTTCAGAGGCCACTATAAACAGGTACACATCAGGTGGCCATTTGTAACAAGACATCTGACCTGATTGATTTAACGCTCTCGTCCACGCAATCTGTACACTGGTGAATGCAACTTGAGACCATAAGTGGCTTCAAAGCGACGTTTTGGACTGCTTTGCCTTAGTTCAACACTAACAGTGATTACGCACTGTAGCGATAAGCAGTACGATGAACAATCAGAAATGTTCACGAAAACTTTCAATTTCAAAAGGCTATTGAATAGCAAGCCACAGTATAAGCATTATAAACCATTTTCCAGAGCAGTTTACTGTCATATTTTACATAAAACTATAAAGAAACCCCAGGAATTCTAATAGGTCATATGCCGGAATCGCCGTTGCCTGAAATGACATGTAAAAAAACTGTATAGAACATAAAAATATGATGAAGGTTTGATGTATACCTATATATATGTACATATATATGTATATATATATATATATATGAACATGTATATGTAAATTTTTATGAATTATCCAAAGATTCCGAGTGAAGCGGCGACTGTACACTGTAAAAATCTCTACTCAGCCCTTTGAATCAGCGCGCTTTGCGTTTCCTTATCAGCTGTTTGCACCCAGTTCTTTTCCACAATAAATCATCCGTGAGCCATTTGGGGTAACAGCGTTGCCGCGAATATTTCGAGTGTGCAACCTTGAACCGACTGAAGTATTCCGACCCCAT